CTACTATTAGTAAACATAATTTCATTAGACCACAACACATTTGTTCTTATATTTTAAATCCAAATATATTAGTAAAAAGCTATTCATTATCCTCAATTATTTTCAAAACTAATTAACGATTAAGTCAATCACAGACTCTGCTTGTCTAGGAAGATATATCAAGAGAGATTTGTAAAGCATTGTTATACACATATTGTTACAATATACCAGAATACGAAACATGTCATGTGATTTGTTGTATTTTGTACAAGTCAGATATTTTCTTATTTAATTATTAATTTACTTTATTTTTTAGGAGATGACACCCATATGTAAAAAATTGGATCCGCCACTAGTCCTAGTAAGTGGTAATTTTGATACAAATGATTAGGACAGAGTACGATCTTCGAAGGGTTATATGGGTGTTCAGTTTTGTTCTTTAGGTCTTGGGGAAAATATGCGGTTAGGTGTGAGTGTACATGGGCGCTGGGTCGTGCTTGGGACGGCACGCCACGGGCACGCTTCGGGCCCATTTATTTCGTGTCGTGCTTGGCACGGCCCGTCAGTTTCCGTGTCGTGCCATGCAAGTCTATTTGTAAAATTGGCTAGGCCCGGCCCAGGCACGTGCACGGTTCGAATCGTTTCGTGCCTATTCGTGCTCGTGCCATGCTCGTATTCGTGTTTAATGAAAAGGACGGAAACAAAAGAGAGAATGAAAAAGAAGGTGAAAATTGGACGGGGGAAGATAGTATTAACCGATAATGTTTGAGAAAAGTAACAAATGAGGAGGAAAAGAAAATTGGAAGTATTTCGAGTGTGATTTGACTTTGTTTAATTCTTTGTCCATTTTTACTTATATTAGTAATTACGTATATATCTTTATGATACTTCTAACAACAACAAATAATTATTTTTCTACTTGTGTTTTGTAATATTTGAACCTATAATTCTTTTTATATTTATTTTCTATCAAATAAATATTATTTTCGTGCCATGTCCGTTCTTATACTCAATAAAGTCTCGAACCGTGCCGTGCTAGCCCACGGGTCAGATGAAAATTGCCCACTTAAATACCGTGCCGTGCCCGTGCCCATGAAATATAGGCCCGGCACGGCCCATGAATTATTTGAGCTCGTGCCGGGCTGACCTATTTATTTCGTACCTGTGTTCGTGCTGTGCTCTAACCGTGCCGTGCTAGCCCGTGGGCGGCACGGCCCGATGCCCACGTACATCATGTATGAGTATGAGAATTGGGTTGGCAATTTTCATCTGACCCGTTTTACTCGATCTGTTTGACTTGTTTTGAAACGAGGATGTGTAATCTTATCGACCCGATATATCCTGAATGGGTAATCTTATCCATTTAGATGACACCGCCCATATCCAAATGGAAAACATGGGATGAAATTGTTTGCATGGCCACGAGATATGGGTGGTGTAAATGGCTACGTAAATATCCAGAGGGTCACTGTTTAAAGATTCAAATTGGACTAAAGCATCGTATGTAGCAAAATGACAAGGTTAACTTATGTTTATAACCGAAATATATGTAACTACGTGATTCAACCAGAGGCGTTCATGGAGCCAGCAAATACATCGAAGGTGCAGGTCCAAGGCAGGTAGGGGTGATAACCCTATCCACGGATACCCTAATCGATTCAACCCTATCAAAGAATTGTCCATCGTTCCGTTATCCACCAAGATTTTTGACTCACCTTGCATAAATTGGGTCAGAACATAGCACATCCTACGGTTTCTCTCATTGGAGTCGGTCTTCACAGTCCCAAGCTTACGGATTGAGCCAATCTTGGCTACTGCTGCCTTGGGCTCCTCATCTTGAGCCTCAGTGGCTGCCAATCTTTCCTTCCATGGGCAATCTCACACTATATGTGGTCCATCACAAATGAAACAAGTAACGGGTTTTAGTTCGTACTTACCACCTTTGCTAGGGATACCATGTTCTTGAGTGCGAGTGCCCTCCTTGAAAGGGTGGAGAAATTTGCTAGGGATACCATGTTGTTGAGTGCGAGTGCCTAACACGCTAAAACACAACACCAAACTGCGACCAAGTGTAATCGCAGTCCAGAAATGCAGAATAGTGGCAAGTTTTATTTATCAACCCGGGGTCTAGATCTACTGCCTACTCCGTGAATGTCTATTATCTAGCAAACTATGTCGAGTGATTGTGAGTTTAACTAAAAGCAGTAAGAAAACAGAAAATGGTTCGGTTTTCTAAAGCAAGGGAAGAGTCACTCGGGAATGAGTCCCCCTAGCTCCTAGTTAGTTCACAGTTGTAATTACCCTGGGTTGATTAACGGTTGATTAAACTGCGGAAGATCCGACAGTAGCTTGGAATCTCTTAAGCTGACCAAGCCCTCTCAGTCCAACTACCCGGAAGACGACTAACTCTCGTATAACTCTCGTATAACCAATCTACCACTACCGATTGATGAAGCTCTAACAACCTAATCAGATTCTATCTATCTCAAGTTGCAACAGAAATCAAGAAAAGATTATCAGGCTTTAATTGACTCAATGAATCATGCATCAATCGATTAAAATCAATTAGTATAACAATCCCAAGTCATTACAAACAAGATTCCTAACACATGGAACTAGGGTTCTTCATACCCAAGTGAGAGAAAGTTCTACTCCATAAAGAGAGAGGAAAATAGAAATCAGAGTAGTCATACTCATAACAATGAGGATAATCTGCTCCGGGATGATGATCTTCACTCCTGGGGATGCAATCTGGGCTTCAATGGTGAGAAATCCACTCCAAATAGCTCCTAGGGTTTGTTCTTCACACTTTCTCTCTCTAAAACATTGTTTTTGCTCCAAAAAGTTGATTTCCTTTCCTTTGGCTCGAATATGCCTTAAAAACCCGATTCTGGGCGAAATACGGGCTGAATTACGGTCGTAAACATGCCCTGCCCTCAGCTCCTAATTAATGCTTCGTTTCTCCCTCGCCCGAACTCCGAATCAGTCGTCGTTTGATCCCAGACGCTCGTAGTCTTGTCCTCTTTCTTTTACTAACAAAATTCCGTGATTATTTGTCCATAATATGAGGTAGAAGTCTATTATTCCTCAGGTCTTGCTCGTGTTTCTTCTCCCGAATTGCCAAATGAATTTCGATTGACTTGAAACTTGCGCCTTTGCTTCAATTCACATGCTAGGACCTGAAATGTGACAAAGGAACACAACCTAGCGTAAAATAGTCCAAGAAAGAAAAAACTCAAGCCTATGTTCTCCACCTTTAGGCTTTGAACGCTTCCCTTTGCTGCTCTCTTGTCTCTTGTACTCGACAAAAGACTCCATCGTGGCCATGGTAGTTGCAAGGTCTTGCATTCCTCGATGTTGCATCTCCATATAGGCCATGGTTGCAGCCCATCAAGAAAGCCATGCATGGCCTCCTTGTCTATGATGTCTAGGATCTCAGGAAGCAGCTCTAAGAATTTTTTCACAAGGAGCCCCATAACTGCACACTAAAGCTCATAAAGGTTGGGAGAATCCTTGAGGCATCTTTATGCTTCTAGTCTTCCATACACGCCATATGCGCAGTTGCCATGTTGTCACATTGTTCACGCCATGTCATCTGCCACATGTGACATATTCCTTCACCTATGCTCGCGACGCCCTCGTTGCGTCCTCTTGATTGAAAACCTAAATCAAGTTTTTGTTATTCCAAAGAGCGTGAGTTCATTCTTCCATCTTCCTTTGTCTTTCTTGCTTTCTTTGTGAGTGCGTGAGTTTGAGAGAAGGCTGCCTAGCATCTCTAACAGAATTGAGAGCTAGGGGTGCACGACCAAGAGTAAGGTCGTGACAATACCCATCGGGTTGGGTTGGCTTCGAGTTTTTCAAACCCATTGGGTTTTACCCCAGATTTTTTTGTTGGATATACCCATGGCTTTGGGTTCGGGATTAACAATATCAAACCAAACTCGGCCCATTGCCATCTTTAAAGGAAGGTGACATTTTGAGAAGCAACATTTGGCGACAACATCGATTTGATGAGGAAACTTGGGTGGGCCGGAGGCAAAAGGTAAAGACACTACTAATTTAGGTTGCACATATCACGATTGTCCGTCACAGTCGTGATGTTTGTAGCCAAACCGTTATGTCGACTGGATGCACATCGTTTCACTAACAATCTTCACAGTATGGTGTAATCCTTACTGCCTGAGGTCGTGAGATTTGTAATTGTCCATGAGATGACCTTGTCTTCCCAAGACTCTACAAACCTCATGATTTTAGTGTCGATGTCATGGTCTGGCAACAATGAAATTTGCACAAGCCCGCGAGACGTCTTCTTCCTCATGGGATCCATGCAATCTTCACGATTTTGATGTAGATTTCACACCCTGACCATGGGAAAATTCTTTGAAAGCGTGAGTTTTGACATATTTACCATTTTGGCACCCTTTTGTCCGACTTTCGTTCCTTTTGCCAATTTCACCTGCTAGAACTTGAAACATACTCAACGTGCAAAACTTAGCGTAAAACGGCTCCAAGAACGATGAAACACAAGTCAAGCAGCCAAGATAAAGGGGTATTGAATTAATTTTTCTCCAAATAACATGTAAGAATGGGTTGTTTGCTCACATCTAACCCATGCTTGTGTAGGTATTGCAAAATTTGACCCGCACATAGTATAACACATATGGATATTGACTTACCCATCTTGACCATTGCCATCATTATTAATCGATAACGCTCTTGATCATATTATGAAGTCTTACTCAAACAATTAGCATTCATTTTGAAGATATTATATTTTTAGCGAAAAAGGGGAGATAATGTTAACAATATCGAAAGTGCAAATTATTAATTACCTTGCATCTCACAAAAAATAATTAATTAAATTACAAACACGTTCTTTCTTCGGCTTGGCAACACGAGGTTGGATTGTGGACATGATCACATGGCAAATAATAACCCTTGTTTCCACCCACAAAAATCTCTTCTCATTTCCTACTTTAAGATTGCCAGTATGGCTCACAAGATCTTCGTATCAAAACTACCGTTCTCCTCTGATCTTCTTCTCTATTTTTCGTTTCAGAAATTATTTTCCTCCTTCATCTCTTCTAGCATCAATATCTGATCTTTAGTGGATTTTTTTTCTCTTCTTTGTTGGTCTTTCCTATTGTTGGAAATAATTTTACGTCCTTGCCCAATTTTGTGCCAACATGGTATGCTAATTGATACTTTTAAACACTTTTCTGTAAGATGAAAGCCATGAACACGTTGCATGACTAGATTCTATATCGTAGTTTTGATGTTCCATTCGTGTAGCATTTTGCAATTTCCATTTTCTTAATTTTGATTGGGTTACCCTATTTTAATTTTCTTTGCATTTGACATGTTGCATTCAACTTATGATATAATCATCCATTGATTTTATTCAAGGTCCGATAGATAAAAGGGAATAATAATAAATATTTATATAGGGCCGTACGCTATACACGCCTACTATAAAATTCCCCAAATGCATGTTTGAGATGTTTTGTGGATTGGCCAGGCAAACTCAGCGTCTGGGATGGCAGTGCATGACGACTGCAAGCTCAAGTTTTTAGAACTAAAAGGCAAGAGGAACCACCGGTTCATTGTGTTCAAGATCGACGAGAAAATCCAACAGGTAACAGTAGAGAAGCTCGGCTCTCCAACTGCTTCGTACCAAGACTTCACCGACTCCCTTCCTGCCAACGAGTGCCGCTATGCTGTATTTGATTTCGATTTCACCACCAATGAGAATTGCCAGAAATCCAAAATCTTCTTCTTTGCATGGGCCCCGGACACATCCAGAGTGAGGAGTAAGATGCTCTACGCAAGCTCCAAGGATAGATTCAAGAGGGAATTGGATGGCATCCAAGTGGAGTTGCAAGCCACAGATCCTGGTGAAATGAGCCTTGATATCGTTAAAGCTCGAGCCCTCTAATTTATAAAAGGGCTTCAATTTCCGGAACAAGGGCAAACATTGAAGCTTTGAATGACTAATTTCCTTTATTCCTCACCAGCCAAACCAATTAAATACTTGTTCAAATGTCTTCAACAATTTTATTCATAGCTTGATAGTTGGTGATCATTGCCATTGTCGACTAGGTTGTAGCATCAGTCCCTTATTATGTAGGGAACATTATATTACCTTTTACCTGCCTGTATTTTAGCATTTTTTTTCTCCAATTATTTTTTATTTTACAATAGGCTGAGTTACGTTACAGAATGTAGGGGTTATAAACCCTAAAAATTCGCGTCTAACCACTCCTAATACAAATTATGCCACATCAGATATGCTTGTATCAGGTGTGGTAAGACATGACTTTTTGTTGGTTTTGCAAGGTTTTTTACACCATCATTTCCTAAGTTTCCTCGCGGGTGTTCATTATATATATCAGCAAAAAAGTTGCATTATTCTTTTGTTTTGTCTCATCATACCATAATGAGTTTTCATTGCTAGTGTGACATGCATATAAATCTTTCACACATACATAATATTGTCTACATTTAGTCCGACTTTTAGAAGTGCTTTTCGATTTCAAAAGCTGAAGCATAGCCAAACATCTCTAAAAGTTCGACTTTTGAGAAGCTAAAAAGTGCTTTTGTATAACAGAAAAGCATAAGCTCTTGCGAAAAGCTATTTTGAAAATACAAGATCATCCTTACCATATTTTAATTTTATTTTAGAAAATATAATTTCTCTTTCATTTCTATCATTTGAAAAAATAACTAAATTAGAAAAAATATTATTTAATATAAAAAAATTCTAACAAGATCTATTTTGAATACTTTTTATTCTTTAGAATTTTCTTCATATTTTATATTAGAATTCATTTTTAGTAATTTCACATGACCTCTTATATTTAAAAGCACTTCTGATAGTTTTTCATCCAAACACTAGGCTGCTTTTTTTTAAAAGTACTTCTCTAAAAGCTCAAGCCATAAGCCGCTTCTGTAAAAGTCACAACAGGGCCAAACTAGCCTATTAGGTTATACACTTACATGCTTTCTAGTTTGAAGCTATAAGTAGTGATACTGTTCACTGCAAGAGCCGCGGACTAGGTCGCTTTCTTTAAGATGTTCACGACACTTCCTTCGTTGCGTACGGCAACTATCAACCGGTCGCCTCTAGAATAAAACAGCTCGTGTAGGGTGCTTGGCGGTTTTGTGCGAAAACCGGAGTTCTATGAATAAACTCTCACTCTTGTTTCTGTTCTCCGATGGTATGTCTAGAGGGTCTTGGGAGACAATTATTTATAGGAGCCGAGACCCCATGAATATACCATCTGACTTGGGAAATAAGTTGCATTTATTAGAAAGATAATTACTTCATTAATTAAATCACGTCCAGTAAGAAATTCGACAGGAATTATCTCTTGAATATTACTTAAAGTTAAGTATCTTGAATCCGTTAAGGAAACAACTTGATTAAATCATAATTAATTAGTTAATAAATAATTTCGGAATTTCTCTAAAAAATATTAGTCTCAAGCAAACCCAGCCACCCACCCACTCACTCAACCGACCGGTCAGCGCGTGCACATGTGTGTGTGGTGGTCCATTAGATCCTCCATCTCCTACAAAGTAGGTCACCCCAAGGGGCATACCCCCAAGAGATAGGCTCTTATCCTCATACATCTTTGGCAAATGTAAAACCACCAATGTGGTAGTTTTTCCATTTTTAGTTTTATAGCTTTGAAAAGATATTCATTTCCAACAATACCATGATTAACATTACTCGTAATTTGTGTCAACCTTAATCAAACGAATTGAAACAAATCGCTGAGATCAATGGAAAAACAAAAATTGTCAGGTAGGTTTATAAGTCAATAAAAAATAAAATATTATTAATTAATTTTAAACTAATGAATAAATAATTCAACTCATAAAGTTCACAATTTCATTATTTTTCATAACGTGCCGTGAGATCTTTTTCTTATTTCGAAAGACCAGTAAAACTCATTCATTGCTTATTTTACGACTAAATTTTTTTTCAATGTAAACAACTAAATGATCATTCTAAAACTTGTCACTCATCCAATTTTGAAGATAACTTTTTACTAAAGTCACTACAAACTTCATATTTAAGTAAAATGGGAAAGACGAAAAAACTAAAAAATCAAAATTTATCCATGTTTTGAAAGAGGGGGGAAATGGAGATGTAAACAACTAAACGGTAATTCTGAAACTTGTTACTCATCTGATTTAGAAGATAAGTTTTTATCAAAGTCACCACAAACTTCATACTTAAGTAAAATGGGGAGGACGAAAAACTATAAATTAGAATTTATCCTCTGTTTTGAAAGAGGGGGGAAATAATATTAGAAAATATTTTTTTATGAGAATAAAGAAGAGAAAATGAAGGCTTAGAAGTTCAATAGATTTGTTGGTTTACTGATAATTTGATACTAAAATAATTAAAAATGTTTGTCTATACAAATTTATGAATTATGTATGCTGAAGAAAATGTGTTGTTTTATTAACTAAGTTTTTTAACTATTAAAAAGTTAAATTAGACCATTTATGCAAAAATGTCTTTAAAGTAAAACTATCATAGTTTAGCCTTTGATTATTTACTTCATGTAACCGACATTATAATAAAAGCTACGTTCAATATTATGAAAAATTATATTTTTGTATAAAAATGGAGGACGAGGCCATGCAAAAGGGCTTACATGAGGGGTCTAGAGAGAGGAAGAAGACGAGGCAACAACAATACTGCGGTCAAAATTGATGCCCATACTATCCTCTCGAAGGATGGAAATTAAGTCGTGGGGTGGACGGCACCCTTGAAAATTGTGGTGCAACTGCTTTTCCTCAAAAGCCACATTGCGTTGAAGAAATTCGACAAAATTGACACCCAAGTCGTTTGTATCCTGAGCAGCAATACTCTCTCTCATCCATCAGGACTAGTTCAAGCTAACGAAGTGTCCTTACTTAGGTGTAGGAACGTGGCACATCCAAAAGTAACTGGCAGGTGAACAGTCCCTGAGTATGTTGATTATCATCTCCAGGCATCCTTACATAGCTTCTCATCAAGGTCCTATTGTTGCCGGTTGAGCAGCTGAAATGCTGATTTGGCTGTGAAATGGCCATGGGTGGATACTGACCAAAATATCATGCTTCTTCATTGGAGATAGTGTCCACCGCACTGCTCATAAGTTTTTGCTTGGCCTCGTCTTGTCAAATACATCTGTACTCCACCTTCCATCATGATCAACCAAGTCCGCCACCACCGCCTCACTCATATCCTTTGAAATTTGGCTAATGGCATCCTTCTTTAGTGGTACCTGCATCAGCAAAATGTCATACCAACATTTAGTGTTGCATCCGTTCTTAATGTTCCACGCACAAACCTTACGTACGAGGGAGGAAACTTTTTAAAAGCTCTTTCAAGTAAAGGAACTTCCCTTTATCGGACGCAAAAGTTGTAAGTCCTCTTTCTAACGTCCATGCTTCCACCGTATGACTTGGATCCATAACGTGTCCTTCGATGTCATCTACCTCCATCCACTCTTGGCAAGCATATAGAGGTTGCCTGTTAGGTGGAGCGAAGCACATTACCGCCCTCAGTTTTTGGAAGAGTCATCTTTTCCCAGACCATCAAATGCATTCTCGATTTGTGCTCTTCTTGTCCCCACACAAAGTCTCGGTTGACCTTGTAAATATTCTTGCACACTGCACTCAGGATTAGTTCAGTATTATGTGATAAGTGGGTATAGAAGATGATACCGTGCTAGCAACAATGAGTTTAGCTGCAAGAGATAGGCGTCAGGCTTTGGATCTTTGGATGTTCGAAGAGATGTGTATCACTGATAACCCGTTAATTGCACATGTTTTTACCCCTATTCTGGAGCCGTTTGAGATGGTAATTCTCGTGTTTTAGGCCGATTTCACGCTAGGTTGTGTTTGTTTGTGATATTTCAGGTCCTAGCAAGTGAATGAAGGTTTAGGAGCGAGTTCGGGGTCGATTGGACGAAGATCGGGTGCGAGGCAAGTCAAAAAGGAGGCCACACGGGCTCACCCACAACTCACACGGCCGTGCAAGTGACCACTTTGGCCGTGTGAGATTGTGCGAGCCTTCACACGGCTTGCCCTGACATCCACACGGCCGTGTGAAGGAGTGGTTTGGCCGTGTGGAATTGTGCGAGAGCAAACACGGGCAGGATGGAAATCCCACACGGCCGTGCGACCCTGGCCGTGTGGGAAGCCTGAAGATCGAACTAATTGGAACGCAATGTTTTGACTCACACGGGCAACTGGGTATGCCACACGGCCGTGTGGCCCTGCCCGTGTGAGTCGGGAATTCCTGGTTTTAACCCAATTTCGGGCTGCAAGAGAGGGAATCGGACTTTTTGAGCAAAAACAGAGCCCTAGAGAGAGAAAGGACGAAGAACACATCCTAGAAGCTATCTTGGAGCTGGGTTTCATCAAATCAAGCTTGGAGATCGTCATAGGAGTGGAAATCATCATCCCAGAGCAGATTCTTCCCATAATTATGAGTATGACTGCTTTGTATCTTGTTTTCCTCTCTCTCTCTCTATGGAGTAGAACCCCTCTCTCACTTGGGGATGAAGAACCCTAGTTCTATGTGTTAGGGATTGATTGTAATGACTTGGGATGATATTACTGTTTGATTTTAATCGAATGATGCATGTTTATTGAGTCAATTGAAGTCTGATCAACTTTTCCTGATTCCTGCTGCAATATGAGATAGATAGAATCTAATTAGGTTGCTAGAGTCTCATCATTCGGTAGTAGGAGACTGGCTATACGAGAGTTAGCCAGTTTACTGCTTTGTACTGGAATCCAATTCCAGTAGTGGAGTTCTGTTCTTACTGCTTCAGCTTTCTATCCCGGTGAAGACTAGTCGTCTGCCGGGTAGTTAGACTGAGAGGGCTTGGTCAGCTTAAGAGATTCCAAACTACTGTCGGATCTTCAGCAGTCTAATCAACAGTAAATCAACCCAGGGAAATACAATTGAAACCTAACTAAGGAGCTAGGGGGACTCATTCCCGAGTGACTCTTACCTGCTTGAGAAAACCGTACCAATTCCTGCTTTCTTTCTGCTTTTGCTTTTAAACAACAATCACTTACTTTAGTTGGCTAGATAATAGATAATCACTGAGTAAGAAGTAGATCTAGACCCCGGGTTGATAATATAACTTGTCACTTTACTGCATTCCCGGTCTGCGATTACACTTGGTCGCAGATTGGTGTTGTGTTTCAGAGCATCAAGTTTTTGGCGCCGTTGCCGTGGACCCCTCTAGGTTATTGGGGGAAACGTGA